TCATAATATGAAAATCAAGACATGTATGTATTGAATGTCATGATTTACATTTCATGCTCTTGCGGTGGTTTCACCCACATGACATATCGCATTACTGGTATGGTATGACATGACTACATACGTAAGGGACAGACCTTACCGTAAACATTTTGACATGCATGTCATGCTAGTGATGACTACCTGCCATGCTCATGGTGCACTCACGGTCGCTTCACTAGCTTCACATATACCTATTTTGGTATTACGGAACGTGAATGCATGATGAAGGTATGTGACTGGCGCAAACATGATATATGAGATGCTTGTTATGAAATAACAAGAGTACATGCCACGCTCATGATGCACTCGTGGCCATTTTGCTAGCTACACATGTACCAAATTACGTGACGTGAATGCCACGTGAAGGTAAATGACACGTCCAAACATGATAATCATGACATGCATGCTATGTATACCTTCACAATATGGTACGCTCATAGCACGCTTGTGACCGTTTCTCGAGATCGACATATTCCATATTTTGTGTTACGTGACCTGAATGGATCACGAAGGCATATGCATGGTGCAAACATAATAATGAAATGCGTGTCATGGAAGAACATGACTACATGCCACGTTCATGATGCGCTCGTGGCTGTTTCGCTATCTTCACATATACCAAATTAGGTATTACGTGACAAGAATAGACGACGAAGGTAAAATGACACGTCCAATTATGATAATCACGACATGCGTGTCATGTAAAACATGATTACAAGCTACGCTCATAGCGTGCTCACGGCCATTTTGCTAGCTTCACATATACCAAAATCGGTATTACGTGACGTGAGTGGACGGCGAACACAGATGCTAGGCGCAAACATGATAAGCATGACATGGAAGTGATGTACAGCATAATTTACATCCGCCTCGTAACGTCGTGCTGATTTTAACGTGACATATCAACCTTCCTTTTACGTACTTCGCATATTGTCGATTCCCTCAGTACGTGGTATCTGCCAATTTTCTTTGTCCTGACGAGAAAGCCACCTGAAGTAAGCGTCAGCAAGAATTGACGTAAAAACGGCCATCTTGTCGCTCTGCCAATTGCGATTTTCGAGCCAGAGATGCGCAAGCTAAGTGCCAAATTGGGCGCATTTCTTGTGAAAATGTTAGAAGCGGCAGAAATTTTCGAAAGGAAGGAAGACGGCATCGCCCCGCCGGGATGGTCTAGTGGCTAAAGTACTCGGCTGCTGACCCACAGGTCGCGGGCTCGAATCCCGGCAGCGGCGGCTGCATTTTCGATGGAGACGAAAATGCTGTAGGCCCGTGTGCTCAGATTTGTGTGCACGTTGAAGAACCTCAGGTGGTCGAAATTTCCAGAGCCCTCCCCAACGGCGTCTCTCAAAATCATATAATATTGTTAGACGATAAACCTCATATAATAAATCAAAGGAAGAGTGCATTAGCTGCCCATCGGTCACTTTATCACCAAAGTAGAGGCTGTTTTAGGTTTCCACAAGTGATGTAGTTTTGCATTTTGGGGTTAGTTTTGTTTTTGCTATGAATATCTTTATTCCTCGCGCTCTTGAATTGCGAATTGATTGCCTTCTGAGTTTAGTTGCCCTCGAGATTGTTCTTGAATTCTGCTTTAGCCAATATGCTGCACGCATGCGCATAAAGGTGCTATTTAAGCAAATGTGGCCGCTAATTTTATGACCTGAAGTTCAGCGCTTGTGTCGGCCTTTTTGTGTTTCGTGTTTGCGTCTTAACCTGGTGTACGCATGCTCTTTATCGTAATTGTAAGGAAGACATGAAAAAACAATACGGAAGTACTAGAGAGTCTCGATAGAGCCTCGCAATCAAAAAATAATTGCCTTTTCGGTACTTTTCGCGAAATAAAACCTAAACTTTTTTCCATTCCACAAAAAAGTTTTAGTTAAAACGTAGCTTCTGCAAAGAAAACTATCGCCACCAAGCGAAGAAAAAAAGGCGCAATCAGCAAATCAACTTTTATGCTGTCCCACTGCATATGTGAGAAACCGAACTAGACATTATATGTAAATGGGATATTCAGTTACTAAGAAAGTAGATATTGGTACACAATAAAGATCACCTCGCGAAGGTATTTGTGAAGTCGGGCTGCGCCAAGCATCACCCCAGCCTTGCTCTTTAACAATAGCATTAAGTTCATATGAATAGCTGAATGTCGTCGGTCATGCTAGGAAAAACCACAATGCCAGGCATAAGCCATTTGATTGGTGAACTTCAGTTCTAGCTTCTTACGCGCTAAGATCCAGTTATGAGCAATGCTGTAACAGCGTGTCGTATATGAGTGCAGATTCATTTTAACAACGTGTAGTACCTTGACATGCTCCTGAATCTTTGCACACGAATGTTTCAAAGAGAACTGTTTACGTATAGCCCACACAATCCTAAAGGGGGGGGGAGGGGTCTTAACTGGCTCACGACTGTACGAATTGGTTGATTGATTGATTAATTAATTGATTGATTGATTGATTGATTGATTGATATGTGGAGTTTGACACCCGAAAACCACCATATGATTATAAGAGACGCCGTAGTGGAGGGCTCCGGAAATTTCGATCAACTGGGGTTCTTTAACGTGCCCCCAAATCTGAGCACACGGGCCTACAGCAATCACGCCTCCATCGGAAATGCAGCCGCCGAAGCTGGGATTCTATCCCGGGACATGCGGGTCAGCAGCCGAGTACCTTAGCCACTAGATCACCACGGCGGGGCTGTACGAATTGAAGTTACTCTAGAAGAATGTCTTACTGGGCGAGTTGGTAGTATTCCGTCACTAAAGTTCACGTTTGTTCTCCCCTTTTCAGCCTGTTGCGCTACGTTTAGTGATGACTGAGCACAAGTTGAAAGGCTTAATGCTCAGCAGTGACATGATGCCAGTGCTGAACACAAACCTTTGAGCTTGTGCTCAGCCATGGCATCATGTTAGTGGCTCATTGACACCGTCTTATCTGGCCAAACGTAGCGAACCTATCAGGTATATTTGGACGATGCCATCGTGTTTTCATCGATATATAATGAGCACTTGAAGCGACAACACTTGGTATATTAAAAGGGCTGTGACACAGTCACTCATCAAAATGTGTTTCAAGCGAAAATTAGATGGAAAGCGACTTTTCTGCCTAATTAAAAATGGAAGATAAAAATTGGCAGATCCCACGTACAGTAGGAATCGATAATATGCGAAGCATGAATCAGAAATATTGATATGTCATTTCAATATCGGCACAACGTTACGAGGTGAAGGTAAATGATGCCGTACGTCACTTCTGTGTCATGTTTATCATGTTTAAATGTTATCATATACCTTCGTCATCTATTCACGTCGCGTTACCAAGTTTAGTATATGTGGAGCTAGCGAAACGGCCGCGAGCACGCTATGAGCGCGGTATGTTTTCATGTTCTTCCATGACACGCGTGTCAGGACTATCATGTTTGCACCAGTCATATATTTCGTCCTCCATTGACGTACCGTAATACCAAATTTGGTATATATGACGCTAGCGAAACGGCCATGAGTGCATCATGAGCGTGGCAAGTAGTCATGTTTTAATATGACACACATGTCATGATTTTAATGTTAATGTCTGTCGCTGGTGTTCGCCTAGCAATCATGTCATACCATACGAGATTTTTAACATGCCATGTGAACGAAACCACCACAAGAGCTGCAGGACCATGGAATGTAAATTATGACATTCATGACATATTATCATGATTTTCATGTTAGGACTAGTTAAATATGCTCTTCATACAGTAATGTTATGCCATACCAAGTTTGGTATCGAAACCATTATCGAAACGGCCAAGGGAGCTATAGTCGTAGGCAGCTAGATAGATAGATAGATAGATAGATAGATAGATAGATAGATAGATAGATAGATAGATAGATAGATAGATAGATAGATAGATAGATAGATAGATAGATAGATAGATAGATAGATAGATAGATAGATAGATTTTTGCCTAAGTTTCCTAAGAAATGCTTCGCATTTAAAAGAATATTTCATAGCAAACTGAGCCTTAGAAGCCACCGGCTATAAAGCCTGCCTGCCGCCGGTGACCACCATTTTGCCCAAAGACCTCTGGGACGTCACACACACACACACACACACACATATATATATATATATATATATATATATTATATATATATATATATATATATATATATATATTATATATATATATATTATATATATATATTATATATATATATATATATATATATATATATATATATATATATATATATATATTCTCACGCAGACCATAAATAAACGCTTTGTTCCCTCTCTTCAGACGCAAGACTAACGTCTTTCGACGACGATTGCAGTGAAACATGCAGATACGGGGCCAATTCTTATC